ACGCGAGGTCACATATACCACCAACAACCATGCGATAAACTACCAAATACAACCACCAAGTCGTGTGGGGAGGGAAAAATGCAGTGAATCAGATGGAATTCTGGCCGTGGTGGGATTTGCGATGCACCTGGTGGGATTTGCGAACCACTTGGTGGGAAAAGCGCACATTCTCAATTCGGACGACCTGCACTTTTAAGCGTGTACTCACGCCCATGTGAGCAGTTGCACTTTATTATACTGCAACGAGGGAACTTTTAGTTAGACATGGCCCCAGGCTGGAAGCGGAGCGCGGCAGGAAGTTGAGTGAAAGGGAGAACCTGCTCACAACTCATCTAGAGCATGGCTTCATGCTCACTCGAACGAACTCGACGCTCGGGACAACCCCGCCCCCCTCCGATTTGGAGAACGACAACGCCGTGGTGATGGCGCTGGGTACCCCGAGTACCCCGTCCCGTCGGCCCGTGCACGCGACTCTCGTACCCGTATCTGCAGATGCTACTGGGTGTCCAGCCGCGGCGGGAGGGGTGTGCGCGCGGCCGCGAAGGAGAGCGACACCGAGTCCTTCTTCCACGCCCTCCCAGCACAGCAACGTGAAGAACGACATCGCCGAGGCTAGGCTTGCATACATAGTACATATTCGGTTAGTGATTGCCGACTTGCGGGCTGGACGGTGGGACGTGCTACCGCAGACGTGCTACCGCAGCACGCATCCTTATCTGGGCCCTAAACAGCACGTCGTCTCTCAAATTCGGCATTTTCATGCGTGATAATGTGACGAGGTAGTCCTTATTCTGTACGCGATTACCCAAGTTGTAAAGATTCATGAACGAGTAATGTACCGAGTGTCAGGTCTACGACACAACAGTGTTGCGGGTTTGCATAGCCTAGGGGCCATGGTGCCTTATAGGTGGAACGAGTAGGCAAATCCGCATACTGTTGTGTCGTGGCCGTGAACCACGGTATAGCAAGTCTACTCTGAAATGAAAGTTAGCTCACGGAATACCTCTGTCTGTGTAAACCCCATAGACAGTATGGAGCCAAATCTCTTGGGGTGTATTGTTAAGTTTTCTAAATAAAAGTAAAGTCAACCTGTTTTATTGTTTCAAATTGAGGGGGTAGCAAGAACAAATAACTAACTCGCATAACAATAATTGACAAACAAATTACAGATAAAACAAACTACAGTATAGGAAGAGAAGAAATTTGCCCCTTACAATTGGACATGATAAAGGAATGTAACGGTGAAGCATCGTGGCAACAGGCACACAGACAACGAGGCCGTTTGCATAAGCCCGCTGGATAGCTTTTTAAAAGCAGAAGGGCGGGCTAAAAACAATCCCTTTTGTACCTACCCCCTTTTCTTTAACATTGAAACCACTTACTGGATAACTTTGGAACCTACACAGGGCTCGTGTTGTTTTAAAATTAATCTTACTAGCATTATTGGGTTAGTTCAAACAATACTAAAAAGTACTGTACAGTACTATACAATACGATAAAGCCAAGTTTGTGAAGCGGGTTCCTGCCAACCTTGCAGACACAAGATATAAACATGGCCTCAAGCACTAAAAAATTGTCGTACCGGGTACAGGAACATTTTCCCTGGAAGAAGTCGTACAATTACAATTTGAATTTAAATTTTTTAAGCCCTGGGTTTCGACTTGGCAAATAACAAAATACATCGTACATGTACAGACATATTTTTCACAGCTAGCACGGCTGAGAACAAGGACAAATTTCAGTATTCCCTAAACATGGAAATGCACAATAAGTGACCAATGAAATGATCAGTCACAAAATATGTTAACTGACTAAGCCAAAATCACATCGTATTCAACCAGTAATGTTTGCATATGTACATTACAGTATATATACATACATTATATGTACATTGAAAAAACAGCACACCTTTCAGAAAAGTTCAGAAATTGTACATCAAATAAAATGTAAACACAACATAAGAAACAAAAACAAAGACTACAAAGTAAGATACATATTGCAAATGCTCCATAATAATGTGTTGCCAAGTGAAAACTTCTTAAAAGATGAATAGTCTGTATACTAACAATTGTTATTTTTTTTAACAAAACAAAAAGCCGTATTAGCTGCCCTTGCTCAAAAAAATTTATATTTGCTACGACGAAAACTAATACCACACTGTTAAAGATAAGTTGTCATCTGATGACAGGCTTCGATTTAGTACAAAAGTCTTGTATTCATTTGAATGTAATGTACCTGCACAAGAAAGTTGTAGTAAATTTCTTCAGCAACACATTTCAT